CAGCTTCAACGGCAGCGGCGACGCCCTGGTGACCCGCATCTCCACCCTCCTCCACGACCTGCCCACCCTGAAGGCGGCCGTGATCGTGGCGTGCGCCTTCACCGCCCTGCTCATCGCCTGCCTGCTGCTGCGTGTCTTCAGGTGGGTCCCCGCGTCCTCTTCCTTCTGGCTTTCCGCCTTGCCCACCGGCTGTCCGCCCCCCTCCCCGCCCCTGCACAGGTGCTCTGGGGCGCCCCAGCCAGCAGTGTGCCTCTCCGCCCCGAGGGTGGTGAGGTGGTGGCCGGGGTGCGTTCGCCTGGTTTTTTCTGGTACGTGTTTTAGGAATTTTCTCCCCTTTCTTTAACAATAGCTATCATAAATATATGGCTCCATTTGTTAACTCTCTGCCAAAGGTTTAACAGTACCAATGTCGCTCTGAATTCTAAGGAGCGTCCACGGAATTTATTTTTATGAGCACTTCACAGATGAGGAAACATTTTTAGAGCGGCAACGTGGCGTATCCAAGTAAACTCAGTGGTGGAGGTAGGATTTGAACCCAGGTCCTTCTAACTTTAATTTTGCTACCCCTTCTTCCCTCTACCATCTACCGCTCCCTCACACCCCACCTACTTTTTTTTTTTGAGTTGGGATCTCACTCTGTCGCCCAGACTGGAGTGCCCTGGCCGCTCCCGGCCACCGCAGCCTCGACCTGCTGGGCTCCAGCAGTCCTTCCGCATCAGTCTTCCGTGTAGCCGGAATTACAGGCACGTGCTACCATGCCCGGCTGATTTTTTGATTTATTGTAGAGATGAGGTCTCGCTGCCCAGGCGGGTCTCCAACCCGCGGGCTCAGGCATTCACCCACCTGAGCCTCCCAAGGCGCGGGATTACAGGCTGAGCCACCGAGCCCGGCTTCTTTTTCTTTTTCTGCTGCTGGAAGAAGCAGTTTCTAGCAGGGTTGTGGAGGGGGTGGGGGGCAGGGAGAATGCCCTCAGGATGCCTGTTGGGTGATCTTTGCGCCCGGATTGGAGCTGGGCTTCAAAATGCTTGGTGGACTTTCTAGTGGGGAAGACAGTCGTCTCTCCTAGGCCCCTGTCTGACTAAGCTGCACCAATGAAAGTTCACAGGGCCCTCTTGGAGAGGCTTTTGTAGGTTGCTCAAGTTCAGGGAGAAAGTATCTGGGAAACTAAGGAAGGATGTCCCAGGTCCGTGGAATAGTGAGGTGGATGGGGCTACAGGGGATGCAAGGACATTTCCCTGGAAAATCTTGTTTTTGCAGGAAATGAACCAAACCTGTCCTGTTACTCAGGCCCACCAGCCTGGAAATCTGGGTGTGTGCATGGCTGCTCACTGCCCCTTCCCTCCCGAGCATACACGCTGTGCTTTGGTGTTTGTTCAGCTGCGAAAGGTTGGGACCAGGGGCCTGCTCTCCTGGGTAGCATTTTTAGTGCCCCAGCAGAGACCAGACCGGAGAAAGTCAGGGCTGGGAGCTGTCTCTATTAAGGCTTTCTGTTGGCTCTCAGTGACTTTGAGTCCAGGTGTTTCCTTCTGGGTCCGTAGGATTAGATTCCAGTGGTCTGAGAAAACAGAGAAGGGGGAAATGGGGTCCTGTGTTCACCCCACCATTTCCAGCCTTGGCTCAGGCCACAGCGTTCCTCACTCTGCTGGTCTCCTTGATGTTCTCAGAGTTGAAGTGTCCCGACTTCATCCCATCCTTCCAGCCGCTCCCGATCTGCTCACAAACTTCAGTGGTTCCTTGTGGCCACTCCCTATGCAAGGCATTCCCTAGGTGTGGTATTCCGGGCCCTTGCAGACTGGCCCCAGCCCACCTTGTAGCCATCAACCAGCCTTTTCAGCCCTGCCCTTGTCACCTGCTCCTTTCCCTAGGTCCCACGGTGCTGGCTGAACTTTCCTGCTTCTGACTTGATTCCTGCTCCCGTCTTTAAGACTGCATGCAGCCACTTAGGCCCGGCTCCCATCCTCCTTCCTCTGTGTGATTTTCCTGGACACCCGAAGGAGACCATTGCTTCCTTTCCTGACCTCTCCACCCACGCTTGTGCATCTTTCATGCAGTCCTTATCACGCAGTGCTGTTTTGTTGTGTTGCATGCCTGGCTCCTGTGCTCAGCAGAGCACCATGGAGGGTGAGGATGTCCATTTCACCCTCATGTCCCCATGCCTGGTGCGGGCCTGGTGTTCAGCAGAGGAACCATTCTCATTTACTGACTTCCTGATTCTTCGGTTGAAGTGAACGTTCATGCCTAGAGCAGCTCTGGGCCCAGAGGTTTGAAACATTTAGCTCAAAGTAGGCCATGGAGCCCACAAGGCTACGTACTTTTTAAGAAGGTATTTGAACTATTTTGCCAGTCTGCTCTTTATTACACACCAGCGGAGGAGAAAGGAAAGCAGCATGCACCCAGATGTGAGGGGTCTGGGGCCTGGTGTTTGAGTGGGTGAACCGGCACCGCAGACTGGAAGGGACCGGTCTTGGAGGTTTGGGTGTGGAGTGTTGAAAGAAGGTGGCGCCTTCACAGGCAAAGCACTTATGGACATAGTCTGCCCCACCTTCCCAGGAAGGTGTACTTGTTAGGGCGAGTCTCCAGGTGGACAGCGGCCACCCCGGATTCTGATATAGATAAGATTCTGTGGCATTTTAGAGCCAGGAAGAGCCTTGATGGTCACAGACCCCACGTGCTCCCTTGCAGATGAGAAAGTGGCATCTCAAAGAGTGGAGTATGTCATCACCAGATTCTAGAACACTCTACAAGTCTACAACACCCACTTTTTGCCACTCGGTAGTCTGGAAGGTAGCCTTTTCCCCCTTTCTCACTTTCCCCTGTAGGTGTGGTTCATCAGGCTCACTGAGCACCTGTCATGCTGGCCAGGGCTTCTCCTCACTTGTCCCCTCTCCATCTCCTGAGCATGCAGGCATCGAGACCTGGCCGTTCACCACCTGAGTCTCCCAGAGACAATGTCACCTCTGCCCACACCACCCTTCCCCAGTGAAGCTTTCCCTCTTACCACTGGTGCCTTGTCTCTCCTGAATTACAATACTATCTTTTAGGCTGGGGTTCCTGCCTCCAATCTCATCTCTCTCCAATCCATCCTCTGCTGCTGGAATGCTAGTCTCATCCTTCCTCTTCCCCTCTCTGCCAGCTTTCCCTACATAACAAACTCTTTGTAACCAGGGGCCTACCTCCTTCTTGAGCCTCTTTCTTGGCTCTGCCCAGTGCCCCCTGCCTGCCGTTCCAGCTTTGCTGGCTTTCCAGGGGTTCTCCAGAGATAGTCTGAGGCCTTAGCATCTTGTCCCACTGTGAGACTCTTCCCAGAATCCCTTCTGCCACCAAGACTGCACAGCCAGCTCATTGCTATCTGACCTCATTGCAGTAGCCTCCTCTGAGAAGCCTTCCCAGCCAGGGTCCCTCTGTGTTCCCAAAACACACTTGGATTTTGAATTTCCACCTTGGAGTGAACTACTTCTTCTGAGCAGGGCTGTGCATTACTCTTCTGTGTCTCCTTAACACCTAGTGCAGTTCCAGGTACAAGCTGGCATTTACTAAAGATATTTTTAGCAAAAGTATGTTGAACTCCCAAGTATTTTACATTGCTGATGTCTCTCAAAATGTCCTCTGTGACTGAATGCAGGCCTGGTGCTGGTTACCTGTGAGGTAGGAATTTGTGCAATGCGGATAATGGAGAAATAATATAGTAAGGATGGTTGCTTATAAAGTGGCAGTCCTAGCCTATTTATCTATTTTCCCTGAAGGAGTCACCTTACCAGACAACAGAAAAAATGTGGATCCAGGGAAACTGTTAAAGTTAGAGGCAAAGAATATGTATTTTAATGGAAAATGTATTTACCTTTAATCAATCAATTCCATTTCTAAGGAGTGTACATTTTTTCATTGTGATCCAAATTCTTCTCTTAATGATTAGAAGAGGAAGTCAAGATGCATGTGCAGTGATAGTCAGAGAAATTCTGTTTGAAAAGTCTTAAATGATCTAAGTATCCAACAGTTGGGCATTTGTTAAGTAAATTATGGTAATACAGTGGAATATGGTATAGATGTTAAAAATGATGACACTGAAATTAGCCAGGTGTGGTGGAGCACACCTGTAATCCCAGCTACTTGGGAGACTGAGGCAGGAGGATCACTTGATTCTAGAAGTTTGAGGCTGCAGAGAGCTATGATCATATCACTGCACTCCAGCATGAGCAACAGAGCGAAACTCTGTCTCAAAAAACCAAAGAAATGACATTGCTATAATACTATATATTGTTGAATGAAACAGGCTACAAAACAGCATGAATAGTATGAGCTTATTTAAATAAATAAATAAGTAATAAATATGTATATGTGAGAATGCAAATAAACCTGTGTATATGTGTGCATGTGTATGCATGTGGGGATTCTTTATAATTTATTTATTATTCATGATATACTTCTGCACCATCTGAACTTCTTTGCAATTCAGCCACATGCATTCATGACTTCTCCCCCTGTATGTACTCATGGCTTCTTGCTGCATCCTTGGATGTGTCTTCCTGAGGACCAGTGCATCTGGGAGTGGGATTTCTGGGTCCCAGGGGTACTTGTTCTTGATTTCCTTGAGTAGGTGCGAGTGTAGGCTCCCACCTGCAGGACCTGAGGGTTTTCTCATCCTCACATCGTAGCCAACACTTAGGATTATCTGAATTTCTAGTACTTTCTAATCAGTTGGGTATAATTTGATATCTTACTGCCTTTTTCTATTTCTTCATTTTTCTGCTGAGGTTGAGCATCTGTCTCTTCCTACATTTCTTAATCAATTTCCCGTCTGCAGAATTATTTCCCCCTTTTTTACGTAATCATGAAGGAAAACCATTGTTCAGTGGGAGACAAAACTGGAAGGAGGGAAAGGTGGGTTGGAGACGAGCACCCTCTGGTGCTACTCCCCTGCCCCCGTGAGAACTGGAAGGGCTCAACAAAAAAGACTGTGTCTAGGAAGTAGACACTGTGATTTCTACTAATTTTTTTGATGTTGGGAAGCATCTGGTAAGGTTGCATGAGTTCAGGGATAACACACATCAGCCAGCTGGTATCAACACCTTTTGCCTGACAGATCTACTTTGAACACTTTACTCTCCAAGTTCTGGAAGGAATCTGACTTTACTCTCTGGTGT